TCAAGCCGGGAAAAAATTTCAAAAAGAAAAAAATTTAAAAAAAAAAAAAAAAAAAAAAAAAACACCAAACAACAAGAAAGAAAAAAGACAAAAAGAAAAGAAAAACAATCCCAAAGTCCAGATAGATCTGGTGAAACTTTCCGTTATTACGTGCTTGAATATCATGTTGACATTCTGTTTTGGCTGTAAGGTTCAGTCAGGATGGATGCAGAAACCTTCGCCACCAGTAAAACTGAGCGGTGACATGGAACATATTTTGTAAATAATTTGGCCATGTGTCATAAAAAGGGCGACTAAATGCTCGCGCTTTGATCAAATTTCAGCTCTGATTCTCCGACTTTTCTGAAGTTGTTTGCTGCGCCCCTGCAGGGCCAGCTCCAATCGGAAACCGCAGCTTGATCCCTGGGTTAAGCGCTGCTCTGCTTTCATTCCTGTTTTTCTATATTACCGCGTCCAGAGCCGGGCCAAGCGTCTGTGGGGCCCTGGGCAGGATTGGATTTAATAAGCACCCAGCAGATATGACCCTAAATTTCTTTTTTTTTTTTTTTTTTTTTTTTGGTTGTTTGTTATTGGCCTAACCTAATTGCAAAATGCGTTGATCTAAATGAGAAGCCTCAAGTAGCTGGAGGCCATTTGAGGCCCTCAGAATGACTTAAGAATGACAAATTAAGAACAGAAATATATTTTAATAAGTGTGGGGCCCTTTTTACATATTAGATCCTGCATGAATTACAAATAATTCTTTCTACAAAAATCAAGTTGCCTTGTTTCTTTCATGAAAATATTCCATCTTTGGTTTATTGTTTAACATGTAAAAAGTAAAATAAATAAGTAAATAAATAAATTAATACAATTATTTTAAAAATAAATCAGCCTGTAAGTTCTGGCCAGCTTCCCCATAGCATAATGGTCCCATCACCATGTTTCATCCTGTGCAGAGCTAGTTTTCTGTCTTATAAGATGTGGCTCTTATCTCAACACCACTAAAAATCTATAGTGACATGAAATATGTTTTTGTAATTAACTTGGTCATGGAAAAAAAGGGGAGGGGGAACATGGTTTATAATAAAAGCAACAAAAAAAAAGGACTATTTCATAGCATGTTTTGTACTTGTCACTTTATGTCATTTTTAAAAAAATAAATTGTAAATTAACTGTGGCAGCAGATTTGTTTCTTTGATTTTTTTGCTGAGGGGAAGTGAAATCTAGATGTGAAACTTTTCACTATAGATCAGGTAGAACTGGGAAAGAAAGAGTCACTTTAACTCTTTACTGCTGATGTGTTTGCAATTACAGTTGGCATAAAATGTGATTCCAGTCACAATCAGCAGAAACGATTCAAGTGGGAAGTTCATGAGTTCAAACCAATCAAAGCATGAACACATTTCTCTGTTTAACAGCAGGAAGGTTCTGGGTTTACATCCCAGTGCCTTCTGATGCACTTCCACTTGATCCTCATCTCCCTTCAGCACGTTGTCTGGGATTTCTCCGATTGAGCTTGATTTCTCCAGTGGATTTTTTTTCCAGCGGGCCAATCAGTAAACAGAAGGAGACATTATGAACGATGACGTTGATTTTCTGCTCTGCTTCAGAATTGTAGTCCGTCTGTAGTTTTAGCGATGGCAGTTGAGGAAGTGAAGGAAGTCATTCAGTCTGAGTTGGTCACAGTACCAAATATTGAATTAACATCAACAGTCGCCTGGTTTGGCTTGGCCCTTGTCTTTTTTGTAGTGGAGTTTGGTTGTTTACAGCGGAGGCAACTTGTGGTAAACTGTGTAGAGTCAAACTGGTGTGTGACATACGTCATGGCCAAATGTTAGAGATTGACTAAAATTAGACTAAAATTAAAACTTCAACAGAACTAGTGCCTCCAGGAAGTAATTGTTGCTCAAAAACTGAGAGTCCAGACCCTCTGGGTGAAGCAACCATTCTTTAAGTTAGTTTTTTTACCAGGGTAAGGCTAAAGTGTGATTTAAACTGCTTTTAAGGTAAGTGTTATGTGCATGTTTAGGGTTAGACACAAACTGGGTAACAAAAAGTGAAACGGAGTCAAGCCAGTGTCAATAATAATTGATATGTGTGTGTGTGCGCGCGGGCGTGAGTGTGCGTGTGTGTGTGTATATGTGTGTGTAAATGTTGGCTTTGGAAGTGGTAGGAAGCAGTGGGTTGGAACTGGTGCTGTCATAAGTCCCAGGAGAAGCAGGCAGCAGGGGCCCAGTATCGACCCTGCAGCAGGAGCAGCACATTGTTCTGGGTGGAGAGTCATTATGGAGACAATCTGCCACCACAGCAGGCTGACAGGGGGGGGGCTGGATGTCCCCAACCCCTAAACACACAGGAGACTTGTTGCTACTTGGTTCTTCCATTTCACACTTCCCTTTTCTCACTCACTTATTGTTTTTCTATTATTATTACATACTTGTAAGGGTCAGACGTTTGGGGGAAAGGTTTACAGACTGACTCACTGGTTAGCACGAACCAAAACCTCTATATGTGATTTGCGTTTGTAATGAAGCGTCCTTCCATCGCTAGACTTAAGACCAGATGAGACCAGCTCCTCTATCAATAACCTGATCAATTGAGGAGCCCTAAGCCGCTTGTCTGCCGTGTCCTCAGCTGCCAGATCTTGGCTTGTGAGCGATCCTCATGCAGAATAGTCTGGGCCTTAGTGAACACTCATGGGAGGGAAGACAGAATAAGAATCAGTCAAAGTTGCAAATCAGTTCACATTGAGGCTGGAAGACCCAGCTGACTTGGTGTTAAACATTTTTCTTTTAAGTGCTGCAATCTTTTTTTCCCCCACTAAGTTGTGAAATGTTCAGCAGGCTCTTGTGCTGCTTTTATTTCACAACCTGAGGAAAATGGAATTTCTATTTTGCCACTGATGTTAGCTTGAGTTTTTTTAGTGAGTGCTGAATATGACGATTAGTCTGTTTTAGGGCTGTTATAAATGATTATTTTAGTAAGCAAGTAATCTATCCTTTATTCTACCGATTAATCAGTTAACCAAATAAAAAACTGAGCGTTTCTGCAGTAAGAGAAAGTGCTAGTAAAATCGATTCAATTCGTTTATTTAATAAGAAAAAAAATGATTGCTAAAAATTCAGGCTGAAACGATTAATTTGATTAATCTTGATGAATCGATTATTGAAATAGTCTTGAAACAATTTGATCGATTGATCATTAACTGTACTATACAGATTCCAAAAAAGGATATTCGCTGAAAAAACAACATATTCAGGCCAAAACTGTACAAAAAATATATATATTTAGCATTTCCGATAAAAACACATTTATCTGTAAAAATGTTTTACGCAAAACTCCTCAAGTGTTTTAGCTTCACTGGGTTCAAATTCACTAGAGGAATGTGAAATTATTGCATTTTAGGCAAAAAGGAATTGAGTTGTTGGTTAAGATGTTTCTAATATTACATATAAAAAAGCTTAAGTGATTAAATGAAATATCTGCAGAATGTGCCAAATGTTTTATCTGAATAATTTGTTACAAAATAATTATTAGTTGCAGCCCTACTTACAATTCAGTCCTATTCAGATCACTTTTCATCCCAAGTTTGAAGTGTGATTTTTTTTCCAAAAACAGATAAGAAATAAAACATTTCACAAAAACCTTTTTAAAAGTGAAACAGCTCAAACTTATATTGAGCCTTTTATATTACACTTCACTTTCAATTCCAAGTTTGAAGCATCAGTAGCTTTTTCATAAAATAGATATTTATAACCTATTTTCTTTTCACAACATTTCTTTTTTCATCATCAGTAGCCTGCATGTGATGTTAGCCATCACATGCACTAAAATCACAGATAAAAGTTGGAGTCTTATGGGAAAGGAAAAAAAAAAAAGCGTTTCCTGTTGTCAGTCATGAACAGGTTGGATGCCTGTAGTGGATGTTTCCTACTGAAGTGTTTCAGGACATCTTATTGTGAAACTCCAATATTCCGTTTTGCAGTACATCCCTGAGCTGCGTTGTCTTTTCTATTTGATTTAAAAATGTTTTTCAAATTTAAAGTGATCTCACAGTTCAGACACTTTGTGTCTCATTCTTTGCGGCGCGTCGTTCTGTCCATAACTGCTAATAGCACTTAGTGTTTATCAACAGCTGATTGGTAGAAGTGAGAGCGTTGCGCAACACAAATAATCATCTGACCGGAACACAGTTTGTTAAATAGTAACATTATTTATTGAAATCTCAATTCCAGATCATTTTCCTCGATGAATATGAGGTTCTTGAATTATTCAGTGAATTGTTACAGTTTGTTTTTAAAGAGAAACTGAAAGTTTTAAAATAATAATCAGTCGAGAAGCTCTTCATGTATTTTGCATGTGGAATTTAGCATACACTTACTTTTGACTGCCTTACTGCTTAAATGAGCAGTTTAGTTCTGACCATGTCACGTTAATAAAAATCATGACTCTTCCTGGTCTCTGTTGGGTGTTTGAGAGATCTTCTGGTGTTAATGCACTTTACCATTTATGAAATATCACAAAACACAAGAGTTCCCTGACATGACAAAAAAAAACATCAGTGGGGAGATTATTATGATGTTGGCAGTAGATCTGACTCCAACTGTACCAAAAACACCAACATGTACAGGTCAGCAGAGAATTTGAAAGAAGAGGGCCACACTGACCTTTAGCCAAAGTGGAAACTCGTGGCGCCCTCACCGGGCTGGCAGCGCTCCACGATGCTTCAGGCAGAGCTGGAGGCTTTTCATGACCTTCATGTCAAGATACGTAGAGCCATGGTCAGACAACATGTGCTGGGAATCACTGGGTTCAGAGCTGTGTGGACACGCAACAAGAATAATGGCTGACTGGACACCTTCACTCCTAAAAACAGTTTGGAAGTAGTTAAAAAAAAAACATCTTCAAAATTATTCCTGAATAAAATAATTTTTATTTTGACTTGCCTCCAAATTCATTCATTCATTCATTCATTCATTCATTCATTCATTCATTCATTCATTCATTCATTCATTCATTTAAATTTCAGCAATATTGTCTGAAATTCTCAAAGGGTCAGGTTCCATGATGAATAAGCTGAAATGAAAAACGGTTTCAGTGTTTCTTTGAAAAATAGAAGGAAACTCATCATCGCTGATTCAATGCATCAACAGAATTAGAGGGTCAAAATATATTCATTTTTTATTTTCTTTACTTGAGAATTTAGCGGCAGAGGAAACCTAAAGACTGTCGGAGTCCTGAGAAGCAAACAGACTAATATACAGACCCGTTCAATAAATTAGAATATAAAAAAAAAATAATAAGGAACTTTATCAATTACTGAACCACATTATATAGATTAATAACATGTGTGGAATCCTTTATATCTGTTAATTATGGTGATTTTTCCAGTTACAGCTCATAAAACCATGTAAATGATATTAAGTAACAATGATATTAACAATAACTAACCAAATAATGATGAAATGATGTAATATTTATCTAATATTACATTTGATAAATCAATAAAAAAAACGATTTCAAAAAACAGAAATGTGGGCTTAATGATACAATGTCTAACTCCTGGTTAAAAGTTGGAACATATATTCAAATTTTTTGTCTATGACTGCCTGGTTTACAAACCTAAAATTTTTTTTTCACACTTTAATCCATAACTAAGGTGAGCCACAGCTGCAGTACCAGCGGGGTGCTGTCCTGTAAGCCGTCACATAAAATCTTCTGCAAGTTTCTCCAAGAAACATTTTATCAGCTGCCCCTCTGACCACACTGCTGTCCTTTGGAGCTTCTCATTTAGGTGCAGATGCCGATCTGGCCCGTCGGAGCGGAGTGCCATTAGTCATAGTGAAACACTGTGAGCTCACTGAATTCTCAGTGACTCGGCTCTAATGAGGTATTGATGTTTGCTGCTTGTGCAGATGCAGACGAGTGTGCAGAAGGTTCAGATGACTGCCACATCGACGCCCTCTGCCAGAACACGCCCAACTCTTACAACTGCATCTGCAAGCCGGGCTACACTGGAGACGGGAAGCAGTGTGAGGGTAAGTTCCTGTCACCTAACGCTTCCTGGGGCTCACTGACGAACAGGCCAATGTCATTTCTGCTCAAACGTGGTTGCAACACACCAGTTTTTTACATTTTCATGACCTAAAAACTACATCAGCGATATGTATTGTTATTGGCTTAGTATCCAGCCATAATGTGCATTTAAGCTGGTTATTCAGTCACAGAGACTACTTGACCAATAACTATAAACAGTAGAAGAAGAACTTCAATAGGACAGAGAGGCTGATGCAGGTCACTGCTCTGGTTTAGAATATTCACCTGCATTTTACTTCCAGTCAGTTTCAGTTAATGAGGGAAAGTGATGGGTTGTTTTACTGAGCTGCAGTGTTCTATTGTGTGCGTCTGTGTGTGTGTGCATGTGTGTGTGTGTGTGTGTGTGTGTGTGTGTGTTGGGGTATGTCTCTACCTGCTTTGCACATGCAGAAGCTGCATTATTTGTCCATTCTTCTTTAAAAAATGTCTGAAGTTCGGTCAGACTTGACAGAGAGTGTCTGCAAATGACAATTTTCAAGTATTGCCTCACACTTTCAAGTGGATTTAGGCACATTAGCACACGCTGATACCTGGTAGTCTATGTCTTCCAGCTTTTAGATAACTTAGTTCGTCTGCTTCAAGAACACGATAAAAACAGCTGACTTGGCTTCTCAGCATCTTATCAAGTACTGCAGTTTCCTGGTAAGGAGTAATTTAATGCAGGTGTGTTGGAACAGGGATACATCTGGAGTTCGGGTCGTCCTGTGTAAGGCCTGTCTCTAATGTCTTTCTCGACACCATTCTTTAAGAAAGGTGGAGTTCCTTCCCTCAAGCACTGAATGTCTGTAGCTCCTCCAGAACTACCATGAGGTTATTCATGGTAAAAGTCTCTGTTCTTGAAGTGGTTAATACTCCTCAGCCATGTCTTAGTAGGTTTGCCACAGTCTTCCGGTTTTCAGATGATGGATTGAACAGTTCTCCACGAAATGTTCAAAGCAGGAGAAATTGTTTTAATCTTCTCTACATTTGCCCTGACCTGTCTGCTGTGTTCCTTGGTCTTTGTGTTAAACTATTTTAATACAAATACTATGTGTTTGTATACTATGTATTTGTATCAGAAATACAAGGCTGTTAAACAAAAATGTTTTTCTGCTGAGCACTTGTTCACTCCCTGACCTATGGGGGCGCTGCAATAGCCACTGAAGGAAATGACATGAAAACCTCTGAAGAAGACACTGAACGCAACTTCCATCTTTATGAAATGTAAACTAAAACAGAGTTCCATCAGATTATATTGGTTGTAGGATTTCTTTTTTTGGTCTTTGGTAAAAGACTATGAACCATTTCTCCTGCTGGCACAACACTTGAGCATTTGCTTTAGTTGCATGTACCCAGAATGCCCTGCTCTGTAGTCCGCTTCCTGCTTTTGGAGCGGTCTCCAGTCCCCTTGACATTCACATATACATTCAGACCTCACCAGAGTTCACTTCAACTGAACCCAGACAGAGGTCTGTAAGTGGACCAGAGTTCGATTCACACCTTCCCAGATAAACTGGACCAAAGTTCGATTAAAGGGAACTAGATGGAGTTGGTGTGAACGCACCTTTACCCAGTTTCATCTTTCAGAGAAACAGTGTACAGACAGAGATATTACAAAGGCTTAGGTATGAATGTATTGTTCAGAAGGAAAAAAAAGTTCAAATCATATTAATTTGGGGCCACAAGAGTCCTGTGAATCATTTCTCCATATCTGATGAAAACATGAAACTAACTGTCCATACAGGCTTTATTGACATCAATAATGGATTTTTGAGTTTGAATTCAGTTAAATTGAAGTGAATCAAGAGATTGACAGTAACACTGAAACAACAGAAATTTCCTACACTGGTTGTGGCAAAATTCTTCCACCAAGCAGTGGTTTCAAAGAAAACATTCAGGTTTGGCGAAAATCTCCCTAAACCTTCAAGGAAAATCTATCTGGGTCTAAAATTAACTAAATTTGAACTTCTGGGCCACCATCCCAAAAAGGTCCCAAAAACAACACAGCACTTAACCAAATGAACTCCATACCCAGAGTAAAACTGACTGCTTGAAAACTGGAGAGAGAATTTTATTTTTCAACAAAATCAGATATCTGAATAATCAAATGAATGACTTCATCTGAGGAAAATGAATGTTTTGGAAACGATGATCTGTGAGGTCAGCTGAACGGGTCCCTCATCACACAGTCTTTATAGATTTGCAGAGTGTTTGTGTGATCGAGGAGTCAAATATTACAATGTCAAGATTGAGTGCATCTGATTTATGTTAAGTTAAATGTTCAATTAAAAAGAAAATGTTTCCATTGGTTTAACACTTAGTAAGGACCATGTATTTGTTTTATAAGTGAAATCTTAAATGGGGTGTAACTGAACATAGTAATGTGTGTTTGGTCGATTAGTTTCTTGTTTTGACTGTTTTCTTGGCAATAAATCTTAGAGTCTTGGTGAAAATGGTGCCACATAGCAAAATGCACTGGTGGTTTGAACAGCATAGTGGAGCATGAACAACTTTCCAAATTCTTTCTGCTAAATGCCAAACACGCTTTGGTGGAGGCAGTGTGATGATGTGGGGTGGAATGTTCCTCAGTAGAAATACAAGGCTTTCAATCCCAAATGAAAGGCCTCATGGCTTTATCTCAAATAAAGCTACACAGAAATGACTTGAAGACAACAAGGTTGATGTTCTGGAGTGGCCCAGTCAAAGCCCAGATCTTCATCCCATAGAGAATTTGTGGCTGTACTTGATAAAGGGCTATTCAAAGCTGATCCTCACACAACCTGTCAGAGTCTGAAGAGTTTAGCAGGAAGAATGGAGGAAAGGTGCAGCATCCAGATGAGACCGATCCACAGCCAGAGAGACAACGGCTAAATAGAAAATTGAAGATTTATTTCAGTCACTTATTTTATGCTTCATATTTTTATTTAATTGTCATTACTGGTACTGACAGAGAAGAGTCAGTTGTCGGTTTCACATTAAAGGGAACAAGAACTTCTAAGGATAACAAAGGAACAATATGGCCTCCATCTTAAACATGGTGAGATGAGCTGCCTTTCTAGACATTGGCTGCATTTCCACTGCGAATGTGCACAAAACTTTGTTTATATTCTGCCAAAAACTAAATTTTGCAATTGCGGTGTTTCCATGAAGTAAGAAACATGATTAAAATTACATGTGAATTAGTTACTTCAAGCAATAAGTCATTAGGAAAACATGCTGCGCCATCATCCTCCAATTATTTCCTGATGCCTTCTTCTTTGTGGTTTTTGTCAGTAGTAAAATGTTGATCATGTGACCCATGTGACGTGAAAAAAGAGTTTCCATTGCAGTTTTGCGAAGTAAACCGATTTTTATATTCCCAATAAAAGCCACCTCATCCTAACCCCAAAAGATTTTCTCGAAAAATTAGTGTTTTTTTTTTCTAAATTGGCGTGTTTCTATTAAGTGAATTTATTTTCACAATGTCAATTTACGCAATTATACAGTCAGTGGAAATGCAGCTACTGCTCACGTCATACCTCCATATGTGTGTTTGCATTTATATGTCTGAGGGGGAGAGGATGAGTCTGAGTGTCTAATTAAATCCCGGGTCCACATCCACTGCCTGGATAATCAGTGTGTGTGGGGGGGCAGGCTTTACCACATACCTGATCCTGTTGGTCTCTTTACGACACACTGAGATCAATCAGAACCCACCACTTCCCCATCCCTGTAATGAAGCAACAGCTCCTGACAGAGACTCCAAATTGAGACAGATGGTGGACGGGAGGACACCCCCTCACCCTCGTTGATTAGATATGAAGGCTGTAATTGGCTGACTGTGTTTTCCATCAACAGGAATTATTGGCCGTTTCACTAGCCGGTGCCATTATCGGCTCTGCTATTCCTGGAAGCACCTGAAAGCAGCCGAGCCGCTGCACTCCCACTCTGCATCCCTCAGGTCATCTCTGGTTCTGTGTTATCAGCGTCGGCCCATATCAGCAAACAGTCACTCAGCGCTCTAGGAAAATATGCGCAAGAGACTGGATCAAACCAAGAATGCCTCTCCCATCTTTATTATTCACTTCACAGAAATGAGATCTCTCTTTTTATGTGAAATATTAGCAGAGCTGCAAAAACTCGAGAGTCTGACTGTGTGATAATGTATTGTACAGTGGTGCATGTGATGTGTACAATGATCTGATTTCTACTGCTTGTGTTCACAATCAGAAATGTAACGACGGTCAAACACTTTTAATCCTTTCACTTATTTATATATTATTTTATTAGCTAGTAATAAAATAATAAATAAACACCCCTTTAATTTTTTACATAGTCATATTAAATGTCACACATTGTATGTTATTGAGACATTAGACCCATTCAAATGTTATGAAAGGAAAGTTCAAGAACAGCATCTCCACAGCATGATGCTGCCACCCTTGTGTTTCGCTGTGAGATGATGCGTAATGTAAGTTGTATTTTTTTTTAACAGGTGAAAAAGTTCAGTTTTGATTTCGGTTGCTTTTCTCAGTGTGTGGGTTTGTTTTGGGCAAAGCTAATGGGATCAAAGGCAACATCAAGGCTGTCATTTTCTACGAGTGTTAAAATCATCCGACATCATGACCTTATGAGTTCTTGGAGCCTGAGTCAGATAAGAAATCTGAGAATTGACTTTAAAAGCAGATCAAGGATCTGGCAAATGATTTTTTATTATGCTTTGCAATTTAAGTGGCAAGAACTAAGAGTTGCAGTGCATCCAGGAAGCATTCACACTGCTTCACTTTTTCCACATTTTGTTATGCTACAGTCTTATTCCAAATAAGCTCGTAAACTAAAATCATTTCTTTCCTCATACTTCTACACACAAACACCCCATTATGACATTGTGGAAAAGAGTGTTTTGCAAATGTATCAAAAGGAGAAACCAAAAAAAAATCATTTAGATAAGTAGATAAGTATTCAAAAGCTTTGCTTAATGTCT